CAGAGTATAATAATTCGATATGTGTACAAAAAATAATAATAAAAATTAATATAGAGAAAAAGTTACGAATATAGAATATTCATTTTTTGATATAGGGAGCTTCACAATAATAATAAATAAAAAATAATAATAGTTAATAATTTGAAATACAATTATTATCAAAACTATTTATAATACTCATTTTTCTATTCTACCTCATATTTACATTTCTTTTCCTTTAATCTCTATAGAGTATCATCGTTTAATGAGATCAGACAAGATGGAAAATTAAATCAATTAATTGAAGTTTCAAGTAAAGTTACTTAAGTAATAATTTTATCTAAAATGCTCGATTAACATTTATTTATTAGCTACTATAGCTGATTCTTATAACTTGGCCTTTTAATGTTACTCCTGAAATAATAAATTATTCAAATTATTAATTGAAATAACTTTATTCTTAACTTCAAAATTTTACTCGTCTTTCAATTGAGATATCTCTGCAATTCTCTAAAAAAAAAAAAAATAAATGATATACAAGTCGCGATTCACAATCCTTTTAATTATGACTATCGATTTTTTCCATACTTTATTTTTTTTCCTCGAGGAGGAAGGATCGTCTAAGAGGATATTTTACGAGGATCTGTTCAAGGTCTAGGAAACCATCGCGCCTGGAGCTAAAAAGCTTTCGTCGCCCTTTCGAATTTCACGCTGCACCATCGTTTTATGATATCACTCGGGCGGCAAAAGGGGTAAGCGAATTTTATAAACCTCTTCAACCCCGTCCCCCAACTTTTTAGATGTCGTTACGCCCGGCAATAAATGTATCCTCGAATTTATGTACAAGACTTGCAGTGAAAATTACGAGTCAAGTTTTTGTTTTCTCATCCTTTCCTCCTACTTTCTTTTTATGCATCACATAACATTTTAATGTGTAATTTAGAGAATCATGTAAGTTATTAGATATAAATTATTGATTATATAATAGTTACTGTAATAATGTTGATCTTTTGAATAATTCACTTTGATTGATCTGTGTTCTTTATTTTGTTCAAATAAAAAATTCATATGCATCAAATTAAGTTTGCAGAAATCTAGAATTTAGATTTAATTTATTTTTTAAATTAATTATTAGTTGCAATTAATAATGAATAATTCAACTTGACTGGCTTTGCATGTGCCCCTTTAAATAAACAGCTCTACATATATACTTTGTAAAAACTTAAACTTTAAGTTTAATTTATTGTAATTTAACTAGAACATAAAAAATATATTATAATGAGAATGATAAAAAATTTAATAAAAAATTCAGTTCATATTTTAAAATATTAGTATAATATAAATTTTAATATAGTATAGTATATTATAGTATAGTATAAATTTTAACTAAAGAAATTATTATTATATTATAATATCGATGGAGAAGTATTTTTATATTTTATTTCCATAATATTAATTTCATTATCATATGGAATATAAATGGAATGTTGATTTTAAATGCTAAAACAGTCATAAAAATTTTGTATTTGAAAAAATAATTGATAATACTTATTTATTAATAAATAAAATAATAACTTTTATATTTATTTGATTCAAAATTATAAATATATTAATACCTTATATAAAATTCATACAGCAAATATAACAGAAAAGTGATAGGTATTATCCCAAAATTTTATTTATTTACAGAAAAAAGAAAGTACATAATACATAATATAATAATAAATATCAAGTTAATAATATAAATATATAAATTATATTACACTTACACGATAAGTATTATTAAATAATGCATAAATTAGAGAGTAACAAGTAAAACCACAATGCAATAACCATTCCTAATTTTGAAAATGATAATCAGAATAATTTTATATTCAATTTTAAGCATACCCTAATTCAACATCCTCGAAACAGCGGAATTAAAAGTGTTCAAGCGAAAAACCAATTACTCTAGTGTAGAAGAAACGAGGTTAATAATATGAACAAGCGAGGACAATTTTATAACGATGGGATTAAAAACGACCGTATTTGGACCGCACGAATCTCTCTAAAGCATAAATCTGAAAATCCATTCTCACCACGGTTCATGTATCAAGAAACACGATTCTATTAAACGAGATTCCCAACCGTTTCCCTCCATTTCGTTTCTACGTTTTCCTTCCCCTCGAATAAAAAAAGAAAAAAAAAAAAGAAAATGAGAGAGAGAAAAAGAGAGAGAG